GTCATGTAAGGACTTGAGGGTAGCCTCTTTATCATATACTTCCTGCACCCAGCGAAATGCCTCATCCGGGCGATCGCTCGCAGCCCGCACAATCTCGCGGACCGAGATCCGCCACGATCGGTAGGTCTCTGGATTAGGGTAATCGGGAAGCTTGATACTTTCGGCTTCTTTCACCTTTGGTTTGCCCTCTTCACCTTCGGTCTTAGGGGTAAGCAAGCGTGCTGCCCTAATCAATGCCTCAGCTCCGAAATCAACATGTGGAACCCCTTCTGGGTCAACAGTCGCCGGCTTACCCGCTTGGGCAGCTTTAGGAGACTTTTCCTTTTGTGGCTCTCTGTTCTCAAACCCAGGTGGTACAGAAGTTCCTTGCGGAGGTTCCTGAGCTTGCGGCGTTCTTCCGAAGATGTCCTTCATATTCTCGGGAATCTCAAATGGATTTGAGAACGGGACAGCAGGATTAGGTCCTGGCTTCGGCGTGGCATATTGTTTGCCCGCTTCGTCCGCATTGGCTTCCATTCTTAGGGCTCGTTCTGCGGCAGCCAGTTCATCCTGCAGTCTGTCGTTTTGTGCACTCATTTCAGCGATTTCAGTAATGAAACGCCGTTCCATACTCGCTTCGGTTTCTTCAAGAACTTGTTTGAATCGCATTCCAAGAAAATCAAGATGTTGTGCTTTGTTGCGTTCGCTCTCAGCAATCAGAGTAGTTCTGAGCTTAGCGATTTCCGACTGATGTCGTTGTTGGAAAATTGATTCCAGAATGTTCATTTCATTCCTGCATGTTGCAACTTCGTTCAACAAAAACTTTTCCCTTTGGGATGCGTTGAACTCAAATTCCGCAAACTGTGCTTCGCATTCTGCCATCTTCACCTCATGAAGGCGCTCGGCCTGTTCAGCCATGCCAGCCATTCTCACAAGATTATCATGCGATTGTTGGTTCAGAATGCTTGCGTGTCTTCTTTCAGCATCTGCCTCCGTTCGCTCTATTGCCATTCTTTGTTGTTCGGCTGTTTCACCCTGGTTCACAACATTGTACAAGGTATACTGTACGTTTGAGATGTCGACCGTTGGATTTGAGACAAATGGAGATAGGGTAGGACCCACTGGACCGAAGATCCTATCAAGTGCTTGGGATCCTGAGCTCGGTGCCGTAGGGCCCGCGCCAGCTGCTGTAAGTTGTTCATCAAGCAGTCGATCTCTTGTTTCGTCGTCCATCTCGTCCGATGATACTTCGGTTGTTTCTCCCTTCTCAGTAGTGAGCAGAGAGGGCGAAGTGCTCATGTACCAATGTGAATACCAGTGTAAGAATACCACGGAGACAAAGTCAGCGAATACGGCTGATAACCTATAGAATACACCAAAACCGTTAAGCCATGAGCGAGACTACGGCTCTTTTAACTCAGAGGGCTTGGGCACGAACGTCACGGTATAGTATACACAACATGATGACTGTACACGACCATACAAACTCCTACGCAAGCTGCGATGCGCAAAACCCTAAACCCTAAACCCTAAACTCCTAAACCCTAAAACCTAAACCCCTAAAACCCTAAACTCCTAAACCCCTAAAACCCTAAACTCCTAAACCCCTAAAACCCTAAACCCTAAACTCCTAAACCCTAAACTCTAAACCCTAAAACCCTAAACCCTAAACCCCTAAAACCCTTAACTCCTAAACCCCTAAAACCCTAAACCCCTAAAACCCTAAACTCCCAAACCCCTAAAACCCTAAACCCCTAAAACCCTAAACTCCTAAACCCCTAAAACCCTAAACTCCTAAAACCCTAAACCCTAAAAACCCTAAAACCCTAAACCCTAAACCCCTGACACCCTAAACTCCTAAACCCCTAAAACCCTAAACTCCTAAACCCCTGACACCCTAAACTCCTAAACCCCTAAAACCCTAAACTCCTAAACCCCTAAAACCCTAAACTCCGAAACCCCTAAAACCTAAACCCCTAAAACCTAAACTCCTAAACCGCTGACACCCTAAACTCCTAAACCCTAAACATCTAAAACCCTAAACTCCTAAACCCCTAAAACCCTAAACTCCTAAACCCCTAAAACCCTAAACTCCTAAACCCCTAAAACCCTAAACCCTAAACTCCTAAACCCTAAACTCCTAAACCCCTAAAACCCTAAACCCTAAACCCCTAAACCCTAAACTCCTAAACCCCTAAAACCCTAAACCCTAAACTCCTAAAACCCTAAACTCCTAAACCCCTAAAACCCTAAACTCCTAAACCCTAAACCCTAACTCCTAAACCCTAAACCCGAAAACCCTAAACTCCTAACCTAAACTCCTAAACCCCTAAACCCTAAAACTAAACCTAACCCCTAAAGCCTAAACTCTAACCCCTAAACCTAACCCTAAAACTCCTAAAAACCTCCTAAACCCCTAAAACCCTAAACTCCTAAACCCTAAACATCTAAAACCCTAAACTCCTAAACCCCTAAAACCCTAAACTCCTAAACCCCTAAAACCCTAAACTCCTAAACCCCTAAAACCCTAAACCCTAAACTCCTAAACCCTAAACTCCTAAACCCCTAAAACCCTAAACCCTAAACCCCTAAAGCCCTAAACTCCTAAACCCCTAAAACCCTAAACCCTAAACTCCTAAAACCCTAAACTCCTAAACCCCTAAAACCCTAAACTCCTAAACCCTAAACATCTAAAACCCTAAACTCCTAAACCCCTAAAACCCTAAACTCCTAAACCCCTAAAACCCTAAACTCCTAAACCCCTAAAACCCTAAACCCTAAACTCCTAAAACCCTAAACTCCTAAACCCTAAACCCACCCCGAAACCTGCGTCCATGGCCTCAAGGGAGGAGAGGAGCTCCCCGGCTTCTGCCTCGAGGCCGCGTTCCTGCGGATGCTTAGATGGGAGTTTCCGAAAATAGGGGACCCTTAGGGTTCCTTTAAAGGGTACCATAAGGGTTCCTGTAAGGGATCTATAAGGGGTTTACGCTCTCACAACTCGGACACAGCCAGTTTATAAGGGGTTTAGGGTTTAGAGTTTCCGAAAATAGGGGACCCCAATATAGTAGCCTAAATAGCAGGATCCTCATTATAAGGACCCCCAAGATAAGGTACCACGATTTTCGGAAACTCCCGAATCTGAATGCCGTCAGAGAGGAGGAGCGAGGGCTTCGGTCTTGGGACTGGGAGACACCCCAAAGGGAAACTTGAAGCGGATTCGGGGCCAGAGTTGGGGATTTTTTCAAGGGTTGAGGGTGATGGACTACTCCCTGCTGGCATCACCGAGGTTTCATCAAGGAGTTGCGAACTTTGGCCTCGGATTTGGCGACGAAAGTGCATCCGAAGAAGCTATGCTATCTGTGCGAACCGCGGCCTTCGTGTGAAGCCCAAGTAACGAAGGTGGCCCTACTTAGGAAAGCCTGGGGCCAATGTGGAAAATTATGCCGTCGAATTTGGGGGCGGGGGCATGTCCTTCAGAAAGTTGGCCAGCTTCCTGGTTGCACAACCTCACCTTACTGACAAGGCCGGGCCATAAATCTCAGGATCTTGAATCTTGAGGGTTTCCTCTTTGGCTACATCTGTACTTCTACTAGCTGCATGAGAGAAGTTCAGCCTAGAAGAAGCATCACATTCAACAATCCGCCCACACAGTAAGCATGCACACCGCGCAATTCAAAGCTCTGGACATCTGCTAGTGGCTAGTGCTCATGCGGAACATGTGGGCTCTCGATTCATTGCCCTCGTCACGAGAATAACTACTAGGTTAACGGGACCGTCAGTGTTCAGGCATGGAAACTTTCCTACTGAAAAAAGCAGCTGCAATCGACCTCCAACTCCGAAACTCAGTGCAACGCCGGTCCCAAAGGATGTGTTCGGCATGTCTTAGGTCTTAGGCTACATCGGCTACATGGAACGGTAGACAACTCGTCTTGTGCTGATATTTCGAAGGAGATTCCTTCAAAAGGTCTCGGCTACATGGGAGCTGGCAGCATGCAGGTTGCGCACGCATGGGTTCCTGTCCTCACGGATTACACGCCGCCTCTACGAAGCCAAAGCGTAGACACGCGATGCATAATCACAAACGGATGTGCTTTCGGACTTCTGCTCGTGGGAAGTCGTGTCTGCCCGAAACAAGACAGGAAAGGCATGTGAGAGTCTGGATCTGTCTTGAGCCCATTCCGTCCACACCCAATCGAACCCAAGCAGTAAAATCTTAAGGAGATGGCTGGACCACAACACTTGGGGGTATGGCTTCTCTGCCTCCTCCAATTGTCCTCCTTCCTGCCTTGCTGACGGGCTGAAGTCTAGATGCGTGCTACTCGATGAAGTAGCTCGCCTAGCTTGGTTTGGCCTGGGGATCTCTTCTGCAGTTCTTCGCTTCGAAACATATCAAAACCTATTCACCTGAGACTTCATCTATTCCCGGCAGGAGAGCCTACAGTCCGGACGGCAAGCGCTCTGGCTGCAGTGCCGTCGGTCGAATTTGGTCGTGAGCTGCCCTGAGCTGAGACGACGACTGCTCGGCCTCCTGGTAGCGTCCCAGTTCCTGCTGTTGTGCTTTGCATACCTACGAACTACAACCTAAGATGGTCCAGATTCTCCAAACAGTGACCGATATGCCGATGCATCGTGAAGACACGCGTGTTTATGTCAAAAATGTTGCCTTCTTCGCAGCCACAGCCACTTCATGGTTGCAGTTCCGTTCGTTCCCGTGGGCCCCCCCCTCCAGCCTGCCGCGAACTCCAGAATTGTGCATCGACGTCAGTGTTTCCGGGTGCATCTCGCCCAATTTGCCCCGGCCTCGAGAACCACATTCAAGATGTGCTTCTCTCTGCCAGAACGTGATTCGAAAGCCTACCTTTCGTGTACGAAGGCTCAGTACCAACACTCACGACATCCTTTCGGGTTGTATCAACATCTCTGCCCTGCGAATGCATCCGAATATCCAGCATGCCCTGCTCAGCTTCTGTTTTGCTGCCTCACTGCTTCACTTGCTATCTGAAATCTGAATGCCACAATAGCTAACGCAGCATTGTGGCAGTGTGCCCCAAGCGACCCAAAAGGGAGCTTGGGAGGTCCCCATGCCCCAGCCAGCAGCCGTCCCCAAACTGGCAGGGCCCCCTCTTTGTGTCATCGTGTGAAAAATCGCAGTTGATGCCAAATCTGCAGCGTCCCTGCAGATGATAGCAGCATCGTGGAACAAAATCTTGAAGCAACCCAGGATATCTGCTTGCTCGCAGCCCCATTAACATGGCATGCAGGTCTTCCACGATGGAATCCTTTGCGTCAAGCTCGTCCTCCGAGGAATCTAAGTTGATTGAGTCTTCTTCCCCGGACAGATATTCACCATAATCGGGTCCACCGTGCCCAACATCTACATGGATTGCGCCGTCATTGCCCCTGGACACCCCTGAAAACCTGGCAGGTTCGGAGATGATGCCGACACCAGGATGTGTTGACCGCTCATCCATAGTACGTCGCGGAAGAGACGTGCCCGCCAATGTATTGGTGCTACGAAAATATCTCTCAAGAGTGACCTGCTTGCAGCCTCGCCGGGCGGATGTTGGGCTGGAGCTGTTCATTGCGTTCGAGCTTGACTGCTGCCCCGTGGCTGCAAATGTGGCATATGTGCATCTCGCCAAGCAGCTCAGTGCCTGATGTGGCGTTGTGCGCATTATGTTCTGAGCGGTTATTTCTCCTTGGCATCCCCAGTCGTACGCAGTTCTCGGTAATCAGCAGGCATGTGTGCGCATCTTTAGGTCTCACTGAACTTCTGCTACTCGCTCTACAGCTTGTATACATGGTTGTGAAGTAGTTCTGCAAGACCAGGCTAAGAAATGGATATCAAACATCGGCGAGTGGCTGACAGGTGGCTCTGCTTCAGCTTGTAACACTGTGGCGCGATCTCCCTTCTTCCTTGGAGCTGGGAAGCAAGTCCAGGCTTGCATGAGGAAAATGGGCTTGGATCAGCATGTTGCCTGGCGGCCTTTGCTGACACTGAAACGAATCCTAGGTTCCGTTCACGTAAAAAACGGAGCATGGGAAGTGCAGGCCGCCATTGAGTCCATAGGGATCTCCCTCAGCCTTGGCACCTCAGCTGGATGCTCCACACTGCAATTCGGCAAGAATGCCTTCTCTTGCGCCATCCTTTCGAGGCGCTCCAGGAAAATGGGAATCTGACTCCCCTTGGAGACCGTCGTACTTGCATGAATCGCATAACCATACTACTTCACTGGCGAAGGCTTTTAGCACTTTACCCAACCACCAAGCATGCAGCCAATACACGCTTGTATCTTTTGCGTTCCCGTTCGTTCCCATGCGTGGACCTTACTTCGCTGTTTCAGAAATTCGGGCCAGGTTGGTGTGACATTCTAGACTTAGGACTTAGGGCTTGTCGGAGAAGGCGAGCAACAGGATACCCTAGACAAAACACACACCGCTTCATTCCCAACAACTAGTAACTAGTTGGAGAATGTAAAGCCTTGCTGGGGAAACTAAGGGACATGAGCACGTCATAATCCATCTCGTGGAAGACACTGAGATAATCATGCTCCGCTTGCATAATCGCCTTGGCTGCCTCCAATCGGCTTGGCTCATCGCCAGATCCCACGTATCTGCGCGTCATCTGTGAACCCCTCTGCTCCTTGCATCAGGGCGCTGTGTTCAAGCAAACCCAAAGCTGGCCATGAACCTAACAGAGGCATCCACACCCTGCCTTCGGCTGCAGAGGAAATTCGCTGAAGTCCGACTCCCCCGGTGCCTCAAAAGCTCCACTTTTCTGAATACAACAGTGGGCGGAGGGGAGGTTCTCCAAAGCATGAAACTCTGTTTGGGGTTACTATGTTCTTATGCAATTGATGGGCTCCCTATGCCTACCAGAGGACATGGTGGCTCCCTTGCCTAGAAGCGGGGACCTTTGCTTGAGGAATGCTTGCTTAGATTCCCTGGGATGTAGCTCGAACTCCTGTAGGAAGCTTAATGCAGTCTTATCTTTTGAGGTCTCTGCCGTGTATGCCATGGATGCTGTTTCTGTTATACGTTGTGGTTTGCTGCGCGCGGCAATCGCCTCTACCCTTGCTTGGTTTGTTTTCGTCCAGCGGCAAGATCAGCGAAGTCGAAGATCTGTAGGCCTCCACTGGCAAGGACCCTGTATTGCGCTTGCCAGCCAGACCGGTGCCCGTTGCCTGGGTTGAATGGGTCCAGATCGCAGCAAAGCCTGAGGAACTTGCCCAGAACGATTCCAGTCGGCTTGAAGATCAACTTGGCACGACACCTCCTGTGGCCCCACGTCTTCTCTTCCTCGTCGCTGTCTTCGAGTACTTGGATCTCTTTGAACACCAGGCCAGGCTCTCGCACATTATCCCGCAGGCAGAAATCCATGGCCATGGGATGGTATGAAAAGCTACCCTAGAAGTGTTGTGATGCGGGCATATGGGGGCAGGAAGCTTCCTTATCAAAGAGTTAGCAATGTGGATCTTCGTGCCTATTGCACCAAGCTGCATGCTGTTTAGGTTCCGCTTCTGGAAGATCACAAGGCTTAGCTGAGAAGGAAACGCTTCCTCATCGGCTCAGCGACTGGCACTTGCTCACCTTCGGTTTGGATTGGTGCTGTTTCCAGGGTTTGAGGTGTAGGGTTTCGACACTCGGGCTTGGGGTTAGTTGAGCCCAAAACCTGCAATGTGGGATGGTAGTTCAAAGTGCGTACTTCTAGACCAGATGCCACACACTGCGTCAAACACCTGGCTGAGACATGACGGAGGCAACGCACGGTTCCACAAAATCTCTGAGGTGTCGGCAACCCTCCAGCTCTTTGGGGTAGAGCGATTCGGCCTCCTCATAACGTCCCTGGGCCTGTCGCTTGTGCTCTCTGGGGAGGCAAAAGCGCAAGGAACGACCAGCTTGGAAGATGAAGGTAATAGCTCCAAGTGTTGCCAGCACTGTGTGAAATCGCAAACCCTCCACATCCACGATTCCCTCGAGCTGCAGCCCCGTAACCCTCAGTCGTAGTACCTTCGCCAAATTGCGCACCGAACCCATCGTCTCTGCACGTGTCTTGCCGAGCTTGGCATGACCTGGGATCTCAAGGCATGTTTGCATAATTGCTATACTCACGCTTTAGATTTGGAGCCCTATTTCCCGGGAGCGACGTGTCTTTCCGTGAGGTAGCAAATTCCCAGTCTAGCCACCAGAATGCTACACTACATAGCAGCCCCTGAGAGATCCCAAACAAGCTGAAACACCATCCAGAACAGAGCACACACTGTCGCGACTGATCTGTTGAACTCGATACGAATTAGAACCTTACGATTGCCAGCGCCGGCGACTGCACTGGACAAAGCCAGCTGGGACAACGGCGGCCCTCGAGTGCTTCGCGGAGCAGCTGCTCGGCCTCCTCGTAGCCCGAACCTGCCCCATCATAGGATCTTGTGACCCCACTCAAGTACCAATTCAAAGTCCTCACAACTCACCCTGACCCTAAAAACCGCCAAGCCCAAACCCCACAAGCCCGTACCCATGGTTCTGCCTATCTCTGCATGTTTCAAGCAAGGTACAGTGCCATATCGCAAGCCAGTCTGAAGCATGGGAGTCACCCGAGCAAGTGCGTCTGATACTCAAGTTCTGGGCTGAGAAGATGACCAGAGAAGAACAAGAACACTGAGTCTTAGCCAAGCCTTCATTCATGCGCAACATGTATGAGGCTTCTATATGTCTCGCAATCCTGAGCAGCCCTGTGACCCAAGTTACAGCCCTCCGAGGCCCCTCAACACCGATTCTTGAATTCTGCACACTCTAAAAACTCCGAAGTTGTGCAAACCTTAGACTTAACCTTAGACCCTCAAGCCCTAAAGCCTCAAACCTTAACCCCTGAAGCCCCAAAGCCAACCTTTCTCAAGGCTCCGAAGTCCCGAAAGGTTTGCATCGATCACTGCAGGGTCTTCCACTATGGTAGTACCAGAGTGCCGTAGGGCTGACGGTCTGTAGGGGCTAGGGCTTAATTAAGGTGTTGAGGGCTTTAGTCCCGGGCTTAAGGTTCAGGACCTACAAATTTCGGGCGTCATTCAAGGTTTTAGGACCCCCTGCGCCGCCTCACCGGATGCAGTTGTGCTGGCCTGACACACAAGCTGCGTGGAACTTCAGATCAGGATTTTCTGTGGTTCCAGGCTTTAGGCCAGAGCCCGAAATGGGAGTTTCCGAAAATTAGCGGTACCTTATAATTTGGGGGTCCTTATAATAAGGATCCTACTATTTGGGGTACTATATTAGGGTCCCCTATTTTTGGAAACCCCGAAATAGGCTCGCGCATGGTTTCTGTCAGGATGCCCTTTCACAGTCACTACAAGTCCGACGGATCGTAGACGCTGTTCGAAGTTACGGTTTCTGTAGGGCCCTGAAGTAGGAGACTCCCCTTTTCGAACCACCTCAGTCACCTCCAAAAGACCCAAGCCAAATCCAAGACAGGTCTCTTGAAGCGCTACGTAACGGGTTAGCTAGAGTAGAGCCATTTTTATCAGTTCAGAAGAGGAAAGTAAGGCGTTGTAAACTATTCTTTTTTTGGGCGGCCCTATGCAAAGCAAACACAAGTCAGCGTACTCACTGTGAGTAGGAAAAGAACGCGCTAGACCTGAGGAGCTTCTTGCACGTTGGCAGCCCCACTAACTGAAGCCAAGCCGGACGGTTAACAGCCAGCCTGTGAAGTAAAAGGAAGGCAAAAGGAAAACTTGGGGCGAGAGAAGTCATGGCATTGGAAGTGTACGAAAGCCAGTGCCATGCTAGCTCTGCACACTGCTCGGCCCAGTGAAGTCTACGACGTCCCGGGCGAATGCCTGCCTGTACTGTACCCCCTCTATATACAAACGCCTTCGTAAAAACACAGTTTCGCTCCAGGTTGCTCGGAGTTGCTCTCAAAACGTGACCAAACAACTTGAGCTGTGCCCTGTGAATGTGGTGAGTGAGGGGGGGTTGGTCGGCCAGAGCTCGGACTCCTTCGTTACGGATGGTCTGTGCGTTGGGGTTGTCTGTGAGGATCTTGGTGTAGTAGGTAGCTTTGATCCGCTGGATCTTGCGAAGGGATTGTGAGTGGAAGGCCTCGAGCCTGTGGAGGTCAGCTGTAGTGAGCGCAGCGGATTCCATGCCGTAAGCAATCATGGGGATGAAGACCGCGTTGTAGATGCGCAGCTTCCAAGCCACGCTCAGGCCTGTGTGTCGCCAGAAGGCGTGCAAGGTGTTGAAGTGCTTCCGCGCTTTTCCCAGCCGTGCGGTGATGTCCGCCTTGCTGGAAGAGTCGTGGCTGAGGACGACGCCAAGGTACTTGGCCTGCGTGACCTCTTTCATTGACTCTCCTGTGAGGAAGTGAATGTGGTTGACGGCCAGCCGTGAGCGAAGTAATTCGCACTTCTTGAGATTCAGCGAGAGGTTGCTGTGAGCAGCGACTTCCTGAATCTTGTGCAGAATTTGCTGACCTCTTTCCGCAGTGCCTGTGAAAATGGCCATGTCGTCTGCGTAAGCAAGGTCATAGAATGACTGGTTCTGGCTAAAAACCCACGGGAGCATCTGTCCATGCTGCTGCAGCTCTGCATCGACGTCGGCCATGATCATGCTGTGGACCACCAGGAAGAGGTAGGGAGAAAGTGGGCAGCCTTGGCGAATGCCAGAGCTTGCTTGAGACTGTTGGCTCAGTTGCCCCGCCGCCTTCACTGTGAAGGAGGGGTTGTTGTAGATCTAGCCAATCAGATTGACAAACGCCGGTGTGACCCCATGCCGTTCTAGCGCCACCGTGACAGCTTGCGGGTGAACCTTGTCAAATGCTTGACTCCAGTCAAGAAGCTGCACGTACAAGGTTGAGCCGCAGCGTTCCGCGCGCTCTAACAGCCTCCTTGCCACGTGTATCGCCTGTGAGGTCGATCTGGTGGCTCTAAACCCGTACTGTGTGGGTCGCAGCTTGGAGTCTATAGCCTGCTCCAGGCGTTTCTGAAGGAGCCTGGCGAAGAGCTTGTAAGAGGTGCTGAGGAGGGCGATGGGGCGGTAGTTGTTGGGGTCCGCCATCGTGCCGCGCTTGTGAATCTCTGCAACAACTGCCGTTGACCATTCTTCCGGTACCAGGCCTGTGAGTAATGCTTCGTTGTAGAGGTCCAAGAGCGGTTGGCGGTTGGCTGGCGTAAGCCATTGTAGGGCCTCCGCCGGAATTTGGTCCGGACCTGGTGCCTTGTGTGAAGCCATGCCTTTGAGGGTGTTTTTGAGCTCTTCCATCGTGATGGGGGCCATGTTGACTGGACTGTCGTCAGTCAGTCTGTGGGTGGGGCCTGTGTAGTCAGCCGGCGGGGGGGCCCACTGTACTTCCGACAGGTGTTTGGCGAAGGTGTCTGCATGCTTGCTGTAGCTGGTGGGCTTGCCATTGGAGTCATGCAGAGTGACCGTGCGAGGCCTGTAGTCCGAGCGGATGCACTTGATCCAGCGCCACTTTTCCCGGGCGTCCAGTGTCTCCTCGCTCTCCTCAAGACGATCCTTAAGCCATTGTTGCTTGTCCTGGCGGGCCTGTGAGCGGATGGTCTTGTGTAACTGACGCTCCGTCTCCAGGTTCTGACTCTGGCGAGCGGCGGTGCGCTGCTCGATGAGCTCCCACGTCTGCTGACTGATCCAAGGGTGCTTGGGCTTGCTAGTCAATGTGGGGATGTGCATCTCCATGGACTGTAGAATGGAATCCTTAATCGATTTCCATTGCCGGTCCAGCCTCTGCTGGTCTGTGCACGACTGTGAAGGCTGGGGGGAGACGTCCTCCGCAGTTGTCTCGGGTCAGGCAGGCTCCTCGAAGGCTGGCTGATGCTGGAGGGCTTCTGTGAAGTGTGTGTTGTAGGAAAGTATGGACTGTGCGTCAGGGCGTCTGGTCAGCTTGGGGGTGGGTGCAGCTCGCTTGTGGCAGGCTGTGTGCAGGGAGAGTGACTCTGGTGAGGAAGTGGTTGCTGTTGAGGGCAGCGTTCGGGAGGGTGTGTACATCGGTGACCATGTTCTTCCAGGCGAACTTGGTGACAGCATGGTCCAGCTGTACCAAGTCGCCATTCGGGCGCTGATGTGTCATTCGATGTCGCTCGTCTTTGTCCATCCACGTCTGCGGGAAGCACAAGTCGTGGCTGACCGACATCTCGAAAAGCTGTGCGTGGTTGGACAGTGAGTCGTCCTCGCCAGCCTGTGAAGCTAGGGTCTCGTCGGCCACGTTCGCTCCAAAGTGGGCGTGCGTGCCGACGCTGCCACGATTGGAGGAAAGCTCGTCGAGCAGTTGCGCGTTGAAGTCGCCAACCAATAAGAGAGGTTCGCTGGCGGGGTGTCTGTGAAGGATGTCCCGTGTATGTTGCTTGTTCTGGGCATCGTGGGCGTCTGCCCAAGAGGCACGGCCACTGTTCAACTGAGGCTGTGAGGGGGGGGTAGGGTTGGGCGGGGAGGGAAGGGAGGAGGGAAGTGTGTCCGCTGTGAGAGGGGCAGTGGTGGAAGAGCCTTCCGTGGGGGAGGCAGGCGGACCAAAATGGCCAATTGGTGGGGTGGCGGGCTCCGGTGTTCGAAGCCTCAAATGATTGGGGGTGGATCGATTCTGTGGAGGGTGTCTCTTCACTCGCATGTCAGGGGCTTTGGCCAAAAGGCGGTGAAAACGTCTGCAGGAACGAAACTGCGGGCCACGACCCTTAGGGGAGACCCTGGTGGGAACAGGCTGTAAGCCGCCCGGGGTTGGGGCAGTCGGCGTGGGGCCGTATAAAGGCTTTTGGTTGTTGATCCTAGCTCTGGAGCCCAAACCACAACTAGGGGTTGGAAAGGTGGAAAGAGCATGCCTCCATGCTCTGTACTCCCGCCTGCTGCGAGATCTGGTGGTGATGCGGCGGCGTGCTCGCTGCTGCCGTGCTGTTTGTGACCTGAGGTGGCGGTGGTATTGTGCTCGGGTCTGTGAGGTGGGGGGTGTCGGGGAGGTGGTGTGGGGTCTGTGGGGCACTTCGTCGCCGAAAGGCTCACTAGAACAACTCTCAGAGCAACCTGGAAAAGTAAAACTGTGAGGTGCAGATGAACTAGAGTTATAATAGTGGCTCAGCGCACCCAGCTCGCCTTTAGGTGGCGTGCCAGAACGGTTCAACTCGTTTTTGCCCAGCTGTGTGGTACGGTCTGGGTCTGCTATGGTACAAGAGGCAGCAGCCTGTGAAAAATGCGGTCGCGCAGCTGCTGCGGAAGATTGCAAGGAAGAGAGGGCGCGCTTGCCGAACCATCACTGCGAGCCAGCAGCACGGCGCTTGATGCACCATGCCTCCCAGGCCTCCTGTGAGTAGTCCGTGGGGACCCCACCGTTGTTGATGTGGGTGATCTTGGCTTCCTCTACCGCGCCCTCGAGCTCCGCCTGTGAGCCGAACGGGTAGTAGCTCGGCCTGGCCTTGGTGGGCTGTGGAGGAGGAAGCCCAGAGCTCGGATTGCTGGCCGCACTGATGCCACTGACAGCGGAGGCGGCATCACTGTGAGTGCGCTTCACTTGGGAGGCCACGTCGATCATCGCCCCCACACCTCCGCTCTCCGAGTCCACTGTGAAGGCAGCCTCCTGTTCCTGAGCCGCCATCTGTTCCATGAGTTCTTCTGTGGACCTGAGTCCTGTGAAGTGTGTCCTCTCTTCGGCATCCGATGGAACTTGCACAAACTTCACCGGCCATGGGAACTCATACCGGAACCTGGCGATCCAGTGATCCAATCCTTCGTCCTCGCCCTCGTTGTACTCTGGGATGGCCTTGGTCAGGAACCTGCTGAGTCTCTTGGCCTCTGCGTAGTTGTGTGCTGTGAGGCGGGCTGCACTGTCGAAAGCTTCCTGCTCGACAGTCGTCTGGTTGACCTGCTGTCGCAATTGGTCGTACCAGATGCTGCGCCAGGTCTCCAAGAGCTTGTTGGCGTGCTCCTCCGGAATGTGGATCTCGCACTCCCAGTCTGTGAGGGTTCCTGTGGAGGTCGTCTGTGAGGGGACCCCGCGACGGTACACGATGCGGCCCAGCCAAGCCTCTTTGGAGTCGACCAGGGCCAAGGTCTTCCACCTCGGCACCAATGGCTCCTTGGCGAACTTGCTGAAGGCCGCCCTGTAGGCGTTCATGAGTCCCTGGAGCGGCGAAGCAAGCCTGGTCTTGGCTTCCTCCTTAGACCCGGCTGCCTGTGAGGATTCTGCCTTGGTCTTCTCCGCCGTCCCTTCGGAACTATCCTTCGCCTCGTCGGGCTCCTTGGGCTCCTCCGTGGTCCCGGGCTTCTCCTGGTGGAAGTACCAAGGGTACACCCTGTCCGCTACCTCCAGGATCCGCTTCCGGATTGTGAGGGAGGGGACTGTGACGATGGACGTGGCGGAGAGCTCCGGCTTGCCCGGCGTGCCGGTGTCCAGGCGTGTCGTGGTCAAGTCCCACATGCCATCAATGTTCCACAGCCCAGCTTTCGCAAGGGCCTTTTCCACTGTGAGGCGACGGTCCGCCTCCGTCTGCCACGTGGGGAAGTTGCGGCATACTATGGTACGTTTGGCCTGCTCGATCTGAGCAAAGAGCATGTCCTTCTCGGCCCAGGCTGTGCGGATGCGAAGGGCCCGGACCTGCTGCTCAAGGTTGCTCACTCGCTCGTTTGTCCTCACCTGTGAGGTAGACAGGGAGGAGTAGACGGCTCCCAGAGCAGGGGCGACCTTCTGCTGCATCGCCATCTGCACCAGCTCCATGCACTGCCCAACCGTGGCCGGGGCGTTGAGGTCTACCCCCTGTGCTAACGGCACTGTGAAGGACTGTGGCTGCAGCTGAGTCGGAATGAGCACGGCAGCCGAGGACTGTGGGGCATCCATGCGTGCTTCCAACTGAGTCATGCGATCAGTGAGGTCTTGATGCTGCTCTTCACGCCGTGATCCTTGCAGCTTCACTTGTTCTAGCTGAGCAGCCACTTCTGCCAGCAAAGCAGACATTTTGTCCAGCTGGTCTCCCTGGCCCGACATGGCTTCAAGGAAAGAAGAGGGAGGGACCTGTGAAGCCTGAACCGCTCGTGAGCTTTGTAAGCTATTCTGGTACGTGTTATTCAGGGTTCTTGCGGGTCCATTCTATTGGCATTCAGGGAGAACTGCAAACCGCAGTGTGAACTTTACGAGCTTTGCAGGTGCAAAGCAGACGGTCGGCACAGTATAATGGTGAAGTTCGCAGCCGTTGTCCTGGTGGGCAGGCCAGCTAGGGACCCCGGCCCCATCGCCACTTCAGGGCACCTCAAGGCCAAGAAAAGCCTAATCCAATCTTCAGCTTCGGACCCCTGGTCTGATCTCGCTGAAGTGTCCCGAATGTCTTTCCAGGCCCCCAACAAAAAAAACATTCATTTTGCATAGGACTCGACAAGATATCGTCTACAGCCGGAGTTTGTGCGCAGTGGTGCGAGTCTTCGAATTTCCGTCAGCAGATATGGGTCGGCAGCAGTTTTCAGAAGCTTTTAAAAAAGTCCAATGTTAAGAGCCTACGCCCAGGCAGACTGTCTGAAGTTTCGGGAAATCAAGTCGCTTACATAATCCTGAGGTGACGCATTTGCCTCGCTTTCAGCATGCTTGGTGCGCTATATTACATAGAAACCACAGTCATATAGGACTTTCAGGCCGGAGGACTCTAATATATTTGAGACCCTATGTTCCCAAACCACAGGCGCTCGAGCTTAAGTTTCTGCTGACTCCGGCAAGCAATCCTATGGTCCAGATAGTAGTAGACTTCTCATATAGGTACCACAAGACCACAAGACAAGAACACGAGAAAGGCAACCCTTCCACTATAGCTCTCCCAGGCCCCAACTTCATTGGATGCCAGCGGAGCCGTGGCGAAGTCAGATGACAGAAACGGATGCGCGAGCGGTCGCATGCTGAGGATTGTTTTGGGCTGCTGGAGCTGTTGCAGTCTTACGATAACGGGTTGTATTGTATAAGCCATCCTTACAATCTCGCGGCCTTCTTACAAACAGCTTCGAAGAGACATGGAGATGTAAGCATGCTGGTACCTTGAGTGGCCACGTTGCCGTTGGCAGCAGCATACAGTGCACGCTTTGTACAGTCCTGCCCATTGAGGCAGGTTGGAAAACCCTGACACCTGAACCCCAAACAGTAAACTGCTGCAGCAATCTTTTTCCAGCCTTTGCCGCATGCTAAGATCGGAATTCAAGCGGGCCAGGATGCCGGAACCACATGTCATCGACCGTCTCAGGGTTGGTTTCGTGGCCACTTCTCAGTAACCCCATGCAGCAAACCCTAAATAAACCCAAAGAAGGGCTGACCTGGTAGTACCCGCTCCTATACTGGCACCAGGGTTTGTTCATGAAAAACCTCGAATACTGCATCAGCACCCCAGTACGCCTGGAGCTGCTTTCAAGGCTAGCAGTACCGCGAATACCAGAGCTATTTCCTGGTGTCGGGGAACTGAACCCCAAGAGTCCGAAATCGCTAGGCAGGCCTGAAAAAGGGAACGAAGTACATCCAAGCACTGCGCAGTGCGTCTGCAGCAGTCCGAATCGTTTCTGACGATGCGTTGGTAAAATCATGCAGGAAGTTTGCTTTAGGGCCCCTGAACTGCGCCGTGCGGGAATTTCAATGCAACCTATGGAGGCAAGGAACTGATCGGGATGTGGTTCATATCAGCTGGCGGCCCACTCTGTACAGCCTTTCTCCTGGTGAGAGTTTCTTCTTCGTCATTGGGTGATGAGCCTTCGCCAGGCAAGGAAATCAGTTTGAAAATTCCAGGTCCTAGGTCCAAACCAGAGTGCCCGAGAGCCCTCGCGTCCGCATTCCCGCTGGACTTCCTAAACCCAGTACTCTAGAGCCACTCCTCAGCACGCACAACGAGGACATGAAAAGATGGACACCTGAACTTGCAGCCCCTTATGCAGATCTATGGCATCTATGGAGCCGTGCATCCTGCATATATGTCAGCCAACATGTAACGGAAACATACCTTGCACCCGCAGACGAAGGAGGACCCCTCCACTGCTTCACAGGCCCCAAGGGATGCTCTCAGTGCTCCCTCCGTACTGAAGAGTTGCACCGTACTGAAGAGTTGCAGGCGTTCTAAGACTTCTAGAGGTCCTGCAACGCTTGATTCCACTATACATCCCGAAGAGCCGCCGGAAAAGGCCGTGGGCCATGCCCCACTGGGCAGTAGTTGCCCACAAGTCACAAAGCCCAATGCCACCTTAATTAACGGACACGTCTTAGACTTTTCGAGGGCTGGCATATGCCATACTCACGGCCGTGATGAAGCCGTATATTCCTTAACGAAGCGGTCGCCTCATGGCAACCACCCTAAACCCAAATCAACCCTAAAGAGTTCTTCAAGGTACATCCATAAAGGACCTTTTGAACCAAACCTTGGCCTTAAACCCGACAAAGTTCTTCATTGTCGGGTCCATCCCGAAACTTTCAGTAACGTAAGGGGCACACCCCTAGACCCGCAAACAAACCTTAACCCCTTTGATGGCGTCAGTCGAGAGGTCCATCCCTACGCCCTAAACCCTAAAAGCCGCTCATGATGGGGCGCACCCCTAAACCCTACACATTGAATCATATGTCCTTCATCAAGGGATGCATGCCTAAACCCCATGAAGAGTCTTTCATCCAACCAAGAGTGAAATCCCTAAACTCTAAACTTAAACCTGTAAAGATCCTTCATTAAGGGGTCCATATGTAAACCCTAAACCCTACAGAGTCATTCGTTAAGGACTAAGGAGCACGTGCCTAAACCTTTGATTCAAGAGCTTGTACTCGTGCCTGGAAGAGCACGCCCATCCCTTCACCCTAAACCCTAAAGAGCCCTTCATTCAGGACTACAGGACTTTTTGCATCAGCGTTGCCCTAAACCCTAAGCCATAAACCCTTTACAGTCCTTCATTAAGGGGAACATCCTTAAACCCCAAACCCTAAATACTTCGTTCTGAGGTACATCGCTAAACCCTATGAGGACTCTTTCAATAAGTTACGGGGTACACCCCAAAACCCTTTAACCTTAAAGCCTTTTTTACAGCCTAAAAAGCCCTTCCTCAAGGGGCAATCTTCTAAGCCCCAAACCCTGAAGAGTCCTTCATTCACGACTACATCCCTTTTTGCGTCAGCGTAGCCCTAAACCCCAGATCTCGAACCCTTGAGAGTCCTTCATTATGGGGTCCATCACAAAACCTATAATCCCAAAAGTCCTTACACCCTGAAGCCTCAAACCTTAAAGAGCACTCCATTCAGGGGTACACCCCTAAACATATGAAGAGTCTTTCAATAAAAGAAGGGGTACACCTCCAAACCCTTAACCTCACAGCTTATAGAGTCCTTCGTTAACGAGCCCATCCCTAAACCCTAATCGCGAAAGAGTCCTGCATTAAGGGGCACATCCCTAAACCCCAAAGAGCCCTTAATGAAGGGGCACATCCTTTTTGAACCCTAAACCCAAAAAGTCCTGCAGCCAGGATGGACTACATCCCAGACCCTTAAGAGTTCTCAATTAAGGACCTCCCTAAACCCTACAGGGTCCTTCATTAAGGGGCACATTGAGCTTTCTGGGAAGTCGTTGTCACTGGAAAACCCCCGGCTGAGGGCTCGGGGAGGTGGCCGGCTGGGCCCCAGGCAGCCTCGGGCTTTTTTAATCGGGCTTTATGGTTCTTGTAAGGGCTTAGCTTTGAAGTTTACAGAAGGGCGGTTTTAGAAGGGTCTGATCTGCGGTTTGAGACGGGTCTTCGATACGATTCGGGATTATGTGTTTTTTTGCTTCGTCCTTCGCAAGGACGAAGCCGGGTTTTCGGGTTTAGAGTTCGGGGTTTAGGATCTCAGATCTCTGGGTGTTCCTTTGCATCAATTAAAGTCGTGAGTGGTCAATTGTGTTTACACCAATTACAGCAACTATCTAAGCTTGCCTTATGTTTACATCAATACACACACACACACAAAAGAACTTGTTTGGCGTGGAGCTTCTAGGGTGCTTCAGATTTCGAGGGCTGTGGTAAGAAAAACAAGCCCTCCAGCCTAAGAGCCAGGTAGCTCCTCGTTGTATGCAAATTAGTAGTTTGTAGTTCGAGGTCCCTAACTACAAAGCAAGATGTTCACAACTCAGGTCAGGGTCTACATTAGCTCCAGGCGCGATAAAGAGGATTCCGAATGCTGGCGGGGCACATGTTGCCGATCGCCTCTAAGGGATTACTGGCTGGCTTCGCCTTCTCGAAAGGATTCTTGAAGACGTCCTGGAAGGGGTTCGGAGCCTGCCTTAGGCGTCGGCTGCGAGGCTTGCATGACACTCACACTCGGACTTGCCTCTCTACGGGGGAGGTGGCGCTAACTCATCTTCACAACTTCTTTGTCGTCGTAGACTCGCGTCTGAAGGGAGGAGCAAAGCTCACAACATCTAGGAGGCAATCACAGCTCGAGCCTCCAGCCACTGAAGATGACGTGTTCTGGTCCCAATCATCCCCCAACCACAAGACCACACGACTGCAAGCCAGCAGCGGGTTTGGCTTGAAGATCTTGCCTCGGCTGTAGGGGGCCGGAACCAGTAAGCAAAGTCTAAAGGACAATGACACAACAACAAGCGATCTCTAGATAACCATCATCGCGGATGCGAATCACGACTCCTTTACTCCAAACAATACGAGCTGCTTACCACCACCATAGTACTGCGTCTGGGGCTCACGACGCGATTCTGTCACCTGTGCCTAACCACAGCTCTGAACCCGAAAGTGTTCCCAGTCACTGCAAAAACCTCCAAGAAGCCTCAACCAAAGCGTAATGCCCTGATCCACTCTGAATCCTAAAACCCGGGGAACTCTGAGACCGAACACCTATAGGACTATGGACTCGGAACCTGAGGCCCAAGCCCCCTGTTCTTATCTAGCATTTTTTCCCCTCCTGGGGTTAATTAAAGGATTTAGGGTTTAGGGTTTAGGCCCTGTTCTTATCTAGCATTGGAGCTTGGGGTTAATTAAAGGATTGGAGCTGGTGGG